CCCCCCCCCCCCCCCCCCCCCCAAATATGCAAACACCTTGTCAACTTCTTTGACTAAATATTCCTGAGTCTTCAGGGGTAAACATACCAATTAAGCAGTTCAATTTAGGCATGATGTTCATTTTAATTGTGCTAATCCACCCCCACAGGGAAAGATGAAGCAGCTTCCAACGCTCTCTATCTGGTTGGATCTTGCACAGAAGCCAGAGGAAGTTGCAGGATACAGTAAGTCAGTGGTTAGCATATGCCCAAGTAGCAGATGGTGAGGATGAGCTAAGAAGAGTTTGACTGGGAGGACAGGACTGTGGACACAGCTAAGCCTAATGGTTTATCTTCAGGCTTCACTCGTGGTCTCTGCCTGTAGGCTACTAACATGGGAAGAAACAGCCTGTTTGGCAAAAATAGAGCTCCCTCGATGACAAGCTCTTCCTTGCTGACTGTGGCTGTTGAGGGGTAATCACCAGTTTGCAAGAGGGAAGATGCTGAAGCGGTTAAACAGCCATCAGCAAGACGGCTACCTGCTGCTGCCAGATTCAAATCAACACTGAGGGGAAACAAACCTGCCCCGGCATGTCCTTCACCTACAACCCTGCTAGAACGGAAGAGTCTTGACAGTTCTATAGTGGGAGCCCATGGCACAGCTATCAGAATAGCTGCTCCTGCCACACAGAGATGAATCTTCACATATAATCACGCAGAAAGAGAGCAGCACAGAGACAACTGTTAGAGATGTGTCCCCCTCTACCCACCTTAGCAGACCAAGGCTATAAAGACAAAAATGCAGAGCCTCTCCGGCTCCTGCCTGTCAACAGTGAAAGGACATGTTGACAAAGAGCCTCCTTGCAAGGACACGTGAGGCTCTGCCCACAGCTTCCCTTCCTCCCTTGCAGATAATAGCTGCCATCTCCAAAACACTGCTTTCAGGGCACTTTCTGAAGGGCTCTGCAGCTCAGAGTCAATGCAGAAGGTCTCTGTACAGTGTGCCTGAGGATACTCTCAGGAAGGGATTTGCTTCCCTACAAGTTCAGCCACCTAAGTCCGAGTCCAGTCTCAGTTTATGGTCCCTCTCTCAACAGAGCTCTAAACAAACCCTCACAGGAGAGCCAAGACCAAGCTATGTGTGACCCCACCCACAGGGCCCACTCCAGAGAGGCAAGGCACGAGTGGAGTGAAATAGCTGGTGTCAAATAGGTTACCCCTCACCCTCCTCTGGTATGGCTGGGTGAGAAGAGTTAGGTTACACTTGTTTCCAAGTAGAAAGAAAGATCTTCCTCTCTAGGGGACTAATACACAACATGCTATTGGTGTTTCAAGGAATCAGTAGTAGCATTTAAGGGCTAAACAATTGCCTGGCATACCCCATCCCTTGGCACTGAGCTGAATGTGGTATCACGTACCTTCTGGCTGACAGGCACAGGGAGATCCTCCTCTTCACTGCTGGAGGAGTCAGAGCTCTCCACTGGCTTTGTACTTTCAGCAGGCTTCGTGGGAGCAACAGTCCTTCCCAGTGTGGTTTTGGCCTGCTTTGGCACTGCTGGTTTTGGTGCTGGCTTCCCTTGGGACAGTGGAGGTGTTCTTGCTGGAGTTGCTTTGCCAGAGAGTGATGCTGCTTGTGCAGGTTTCACTGGGGATGGGGTGGCCTGGGAGGATTTTGGAAGTGGCTTTGTCTGGACAAGACAAGAATAACATGAAACAAGGCAAATCCCACAGCGTAATTCCTTTGCTCAGACTATAATCAAGGGAAAAAATTTTAGAACCCCCTGCGAAAGTCTGATGAAGGAAGATTAGCAACTGGCAGGACACAAGGCATCCTTTCATCTAGCTGTGTGGGGATAACCTCCCAAGATGAGAAAGCAAGACCAGACATTATCCATCAGCCTGCTGATACTACCAGTCTCCTCCAGTGAGGTATGTTGCAGTACTTTGCACTCTCCATAGCAGGGAAACTAAACTGCACTATAGTTCGACATATTAGACACCATTTATTGCAATTTATAGCTGAGAGGCAAATTCAACAATTTGCCTCTTCAGGTGAGAAAAAAATTGCTGGGTTTTTTTCATTTAAAAGTACTCACAGATTTTTTAAAAATTTTTTTAAGAAAGGCACAATACAGTGGCTTAATTAAAGCTCAGAGCAAAGACACTGAGGTGCCTTTAAACACCCCATGCTTCTTTCCTCCCACCTCCAACATGACTTTGCTATAAGCTATACGCATTTACCAAATTTTCTTTTCACTGCAATTCCCAGCCCTGGAGAGGCATGCAAGTGATGTACGAGACAAATGAAAGGGACAACACAAGGAGAGACAGAATCTTGGATAAATGCACCTGGGTTACTGATGGAGGTTCCTCATCTTCGCTGTCTGATGAGTCGCTGCTCTCTGATGTGTCATCCGGCTTTGCAGCCCCAGGAACCGTTACGGATGTGGGTTTGGCCTGGTCTGGTGCCACTGCCGTTTGCCTCACTGCATTCTTCTTGGAGGACACTGGAGTAGCAGGTGCACTTTTGACTGCTGCCCCTGCATTAACCTGCACTGTTTTCACAGCTGGTTTTGCCTGGGGGAACAAAAGGGAACAGGAGAATCAGGTAACATCTCACAAGAAACTGCTTAAGGAAGGCCACCTTGCTAACTTTGACCAGAATAGGTTCAGACCCATGGGTTGTGGAGTATCTGAAGCAAGCTGCTTTCTCCATGGACTGCCTGACTACATCCATGGGCACTGCACACCAGTCACCGCCTACAGATCAAAGTATCTCCCTCAACTTCAGGCACCAGGAGGAACTGGGATGGAATGGTTGATGCTGGCAGGGGTTAGTGGGGCTCTCAGCCACACAGCATGTTTCTACGGCCTTGGCTTTGGGGATCCCACACACCCAGGGAAGGGGATGTTGTCAGACTACAGCACTGCAGCACTTCCTCTCTCCTTCAAGGGAAGGTAACTGATTTCCTAGAGAAGGACCCTGAGTTGGAGAGGTTACCTGGACTGCTGGAGCTGCAAGCTCCTCTTCCTCGGATGTCTCATCACTTGATTCCTCACTGCTGCTCTCAGTGGCCCTAGCTGCCTGCTTTAGCTCTGAAACACAAGCAAGGAGATGTCATAGCTGCTGCTTGCTCTGAGCTCCCAGAGCGTGATGCTAACACAGCTTTTGAAGTCAGGAAAACAAAACAAGCCGCAGAGAGGGCTAAGGGGATTTGCAAGGAAGAGGGCCTAGCCCTGCTGAAAGCATCAGTGGCCTACTGGGAACAGCTCCTCCAGACAAATGTTGGCCCACAAACACTGCTCCCTCGAGTGCAGGCAGAGATAGGAGATCCTTCCTGGCCACCCTCTGACCCTACAGGGAGCTGTCCAACCACACACAGCTCCCTGCAGGGGCATGCAGCCTGGCTGGACCTCCTCTGGAAAAGAGCCAAAAGAAGGACCATTTTGAGAGCTTCTATGATCTATTCCTGACCCCCACAACACATACACTTCAAAGCAGTAAGAGACATTTACCTAAAGACTTCAAAACCAAAAAACAATCACTTTGCAATTGGGCACAAAGAGAAGATGTTGCAGTGCCTCTCCAAAAAGCTGGAAGCATCTACAATATTAGTACTGCATCTCCTCCAGACACACTACGCTGTCGTTTCCAACCCCGTAGTGCTGGGTGCTGCCAGACAGACATCTTAGCTCAGAATCTGCCACTTGAAATGGGAGCAAGCATGCTGGATTCATCCACAGAGCTCCGGAGCTGGCTGTTCTGCAGTATTCTCACAGCCTCCCCAAGGAACAAGCATCACTTTGAGCTTTCCAGCGAGGGAGCTGAAAGGAACATGCTGAAGGCATGGCTCAGACCTGATTTGCAGCAAAGCTGGAGCACATATGCATTTAGCACACCCCACAGCCTCCTCACCTGCTTTCGGGGCTGGGGCCTTTGCAGTCGGTGCCTTTTTTTCCTCCTCACTCTCTGATGAGGAGCTGCTGCTGCTGCTGCTGCTGCTGGAGCTTTCCGGTGCTTTGGTCTTTACTGGTGCTTTGCTTTGACCTACTTTGGCCGTGGCTGTTGCGGCATGTCCGGGCTTCCCAGGACTGGGCAGTTTCTGCCCAGCCTTGGCTGGAACTGCAGATACAGCTGGCGCATTGGGCTGCTGCTTATTTGAGACCACAGTTCTGTTCGCAGCAGAGCGCGCCGCTGCTTTGCCTGCTGGAGCAGCGCGTTTGTTTGGAGAATTCAGGGAGTTGGCAGCTTTGCCACTCACTACAACTGGTGTCACCTACAGGACAAAAAAAGAAATTAGAAGCCTATAGGCAGATGAGGGGCTAAATTGGACACAACATACCTTAAACAGCAATCTGCCAGACAGACAAGCCATAGAGTTCTTTAGAGAAGCACTTGGGGGACAGATATCTAAGAGAAGGCTTATGCCAGCATAGAAGGGTCTTTTAAATATGAATTCCACCCCAGCCCACAATTGTATACATGCCAACGAGTCTGGGACAGGCCTGGCCTCAGAGCACTATCAACCTTCGAAGCTAAGAGAAGTATTGCCTTACCGTAATTGCACCTTTTCCAGCTGCTGTCTCCTCTTCTGATGAGGAATCATCATCTTCACTGCTTTCTACATTCACTGCTGAGTTTGTGGCCACGGAGAGGCTGGCTGCTGCACAGGAGAGCCACAGAAAAATCGTGAGAGCCTCTTGCATCAAGACAACCTCTGGTCTGCAGGAGGGCCCCAGCAGGCCGGGCAGGGTCCCATCTTCACACCTGTCCCACCACCACCACCACCACCACAGTCCTTGCGACAGACACGTACTTTGCTCCTCCACCCCACCCATCTCCCCACCACCAAGACACGGAACCTGCCAAGATCTGCACGTTTCCAAGGGCTGGTCTACACCAGATGAGACTGAGCCAAAATGAAGCAGACACATGGGTTTTAGACTATGCAAGCCAACGCCTCCCACATCAGCTACACCAGGGATCTATCCCCACCTCAGACAGGGCACTGGTTTTCCAGACCAACTAACAAGTCCTCCCCTCATCCATGAAACAGGCCTGCCTTTGCTGGCCCAACAGACATCTGGGACCAACTAGGAGATGCTCCACAGAGGGCAGCATTAAGTTCCCAAGGCTTCATCCAAGCAAAAACACCCATCCCTCCCCAATGAATCATAACAGTTTTTTTTCCAGCTTCAGCAGACATCTGTGCTCCTCAAAAACTCCACATGAGAAGGGGATGCTAAATTAGTTGTCCTATTTTTTTAAGAGAATAAGTTGTCCTATTTTTTTAAGGGAATAGCCATCACTTTACAAGCATTTCCTCTAGCCAAGCAAGTCAGGCTGCTCCTACACAAACCTCCAGTCCTACTCTGTCAACTCCAGGGAGATGAAAGGCTCTTACCACTTGCAGCTTTTGCTTTTGCTTTCTCTTTCTCATCCTCTTCTTTCTCTGAGCTCTCAGAGCTGCTCACAGGATCAGGAACTCTGATCTTTTCTGGGATGGCTGCCTCCTCATCACTCGCCTTTCTTCTGGAATTTGAGGGAGTTCTGAGGGAACAGAATGTGTGTCAAAATGGGGAAAAAAATATCTTGAACAAATTTGAATACAATTATTCATCCACTCTCAGATCAGGCTCCAGCCTAAGGACATGCAATGTCATTCCTCTATTTCTCTAACCTGCAAGGGACTCTTCCAGTCCTCCTCAGGCAACTCCTGAGAGATACAGAGTTTTTTTTCTGTGTCCTACGCAGACTCTTTCTCATTTTAGCAGAGAAGTAAAAACCTATATGGGCAGGCTGGTGCTCATCAGAAAGCAAAGGCATCCTACAGAACAAATTCTGTCTCCAGGAGGCAGCTATATAGCCAGAGAGTCAATAAGTGCAGTCCCAGGGTAGGGCAGTGATCCCTAAACAGGTCTTGGTATTCCACAAAGCCAGAAGCGAATCTAAAGGCTGCAAAAGCCATTTGAACTTGGGCTTGCAGACCAAAAGCACAGAAATGTCAGGTTGCAGAGAGATTTAAGAAAGGAGGTGGCTGGACCTACAGAAGATGTGTTGAAAGAAGGGGAAGAAGAGGCCACAGAGGAGCATTAAACACTTGAGCTGTTCAGTTGGGTCAAAACATGGAGAGATGGATGAAAGAGGGAGAAAGATGTCTCCAGGCTCAATCCTACCTGTACCAGAGCAGATGATGGGGCTAAAGTTATCTTTCATTTTCAAATTAAAACATAGGTAACATATCTGCTTTATTCCAAGGATAACATTGGCTGGGTACATGTCTGTGTGATTCACACAGGCAATACTTCTAAGCCCACAGACTCACAATTATCAGAGGCAAAACCACTCACTTTTCTGACAGCTCAGCTTATTTTATTTGTTGATCTGATTTTAAAAAAAGAGATCAGTTTAACAATTTAGCCAGTAAAGATTGTGCTTACTATTGGAGTGTTTTAGTACCATAGCTGCAACAGCAATTTTTTTGCAAGCAGGCTAAGCCAAAGGCACATTTGCTATTACAAAGTCCTGTTAACTACTCTTATAGTCCTTTTAATAAAATAATAGGGCAAGCCACACAGGCAGCTATGATACTCCAGTGCCTTCCTGATTCAATGGCAGCTGATAGCACAACACAGACTACTGTGAGAATTTGTCGTGGTGACCAGGGGCTCAGGGATACTGTGTGGGGGAAAACAGCAGTGCCTGCAGGCACTGGCCCTACATCAGCTTGGAGCATTTGAGGACTGCAGGGCTCCGGCTGCTTGTGCAGCTGAGCTGGTCCAGCTTCCCCCTGCACCCTTCCAGCCCCTCCTAGCAACCTCTGAGACTAACCGTAGCCCTGGAGGGAGGCCACTCTTAAGTGACTGCAAATCTCAACCGTTAAGTTCACTTTTTAAGAGTTTCCAAAGAAGAGCACCAAGGATGGCCTCAGGTAGGTGGGCAAGAGCTGCAGTGTGGTCGGAGGAAAGACATTTTCAGGCCAAAAGCCTATGAAGCGACAAGACGCAAGAATCACAGCTCACCCACATGAGAGCACTCCAGCTAGGCAGGGCACTTTATGGATAAACAAAACTACTGGTAAATACATCCCTCATTTTGATTCCAAACTAGGCATAACTCAGGGGGAGCGGGAATAAGAGGCGTACTTGTGGGGTGGGACCACAACCGAAAGGTAACACTACAGAAAAAGGAATTAAACGTGATGCAAGTGCCCTGTCACCCTCCCCCCCAACCTTTAAAAGCAATAGTGTCTGGAAGGGTTTGCTGTAGCACCCGGGAAAACCAGCACAGAGGTCACCAGCAATACCCAAGAGAGCAACAAATTCTCAGAGGGAGGAACTGCAAGCCTGTTTCTATACTGCTACATCCTCACCTAGATCCAGTCCTTCTCCTGCCCATGTAAGACGATCATGGAGACACAAGAGCAAAAATCAGGATAGTGCCAAGGCATGACACCTTCTAGCAGAAAATACCTTTGAAGTAAACACCCGCTTCCCGAGTCTACTGGCACAGCCACGCTGAGGAGCATCCTCACTCCAGTGCTCCTCAACATGGGCACAGAAACCCAGCTCTGCTGACTCCCTGATAACCCAGCTCTGTGGCTGGCACCAGGCTTCTCTGCAAGCGCTGCACTCCAGCATCAAACCAACGCGAGTGGTGCACAGGGTGGGTACAAACGTACCCCACAGATGGAAAGGCTCCATGCTGCAGACCTTCACATGGGGTACTCAGTGGAATAGCTATGCAGGAAGGCATTGGGCTGAACATGTAAGGGCTTGAAAGGACAGGCTGAAACCAAGAGAACTCCTCTGAGTCAGAAGATACGTGATCTATGCCAAGGTTTAAGTCTCTGTAAGAGCCTTGGCATTTCAGCATCTGCTCAAATTCTCTGTTCTTGGGTCAATATTCCTACAAAGCATGTGGCTTTAGAAAGAAAGTGAAACAGAACTCGGGCAAAGATTCTTGCCTGTAAAGCATGACTCTGAGCCCCACAATACTCCAGTATTAACACCAACAGGCAAGGACAGCATCAGCCGCTCAAAAATAGCATTAACAACTTATCTCCAAACTCACGAAATTTTAAATCAAAGTAATCTTCAGCATCTGAAACAAATCGGTCTGAAAACAGAGGCTAGGAGGACAGTCTGCCGAGCACAAGTTGTCAGAAATAGTCTGACAATGGGAAATTCCAGCAAATAAAGGTCACACGTGCCATGCCACCTGGCTGTTAACACAGTCTGGAACCTACTTGATAGTCATTTCCTCCTTCAACTTACTTTTCCCAGTGGGTAAAGATGTCCTCGAGAGAGGCCGCGAGGGAAGGGAGCAGCTTCTGTGAAAGCAGAGTGAACACAAGTCAGGCATCGGCCCTGTTTCCGGATGCAGCCGCCAGACAGGAGAACCAGAGACCGCAGATGCCCCTCCAGGAATCCCCAGGAAAACGGGAACACGTCCGGCCCGCACACGCGCTCCCGGCCAGGCCCCTCTGCACCCAAGGCCGCGTCCTCCCCTCGGCG